TTTTTTTTTTTTTTTTGAGCATGTAGACTTTTTTATATGTCCACAGAGCTCCACATTAGAAACCAATACATTTGGGGTTTGAAGTGTATTGTTTAGAGCAGGGGGTGAGATCCCCACCCCTCTGCCCCTCTGGCCTCTCCCCACTGACCCCCATCCCCACATACCCCAAGGTGACCCTGAGCTCTTATAGGAGCCCTCAGGGTGCAGAGTTTGCAAACCTGCCATACGAGGGCCCAGCCATAGGTGGCCAGCTTCCCGGGTTCCCCAGGACCGAGGGAGTTCCAGGACGCTGAATAAGGTAAAACGCAGATGGTTCCAGGAAAACCAGGACAGGCTGGTACCCAGGAAGCTACCCCTCCCCTGGTTACTTTTCTCTGGTCGGCTACGTGTGGGCCCCTTTAAGAGCTGCCTCACAATATCCATCTTTTCAGTGAGGGGTCAGGTGGGAGCAAATGCCCAGTCTCCAGCCCCCTCGCTGTTCAGGTCTTCTCTCTGGGGCCGGCTGTGCGAGAAGCAAGCCCAGCCACACGCGTGTGGACATGGCAGTGAACTGTAGCAACTGCATTTCACTGGAGCACCGGCCAGATGCGGCTGCTCCCTTCCAGAAGGACGCCTCACCACCTCTGGGCCCTCGATCTTTAAAGGGTTGCTCCCGCCCTGCCTGGTACCCACCCAGGCCAAGAGCTCCAGAAGCGCCAGTCACACTATAGAAAGCCTTTCCAGGCCCAGGGTGGGGAAGGGGCTGGGTGGGCTCCCGAGGCTGGTACCAGGACAATGTAATCTCTACCCAGGAATGTGAGGGGCTGCCCAGCAGCCTGTCTCGTGAGGGCACATCCAGAAACCAAAGATAATCAGCACATATCCCCACACATACATACGCATTTCTTACCACAATATGGGAAGGGGACAATGGCGTTATTCCCGTGTCCCCCAGACTCCGGGCCGGAGATGAATATGCAGACGTGGGGGCTGTTTCTGAAAGGAAAGACAAATGTGCTTAGAAGTGGCACGGGCTGACCCAGGGGGCAGAAGCGAGCTGCCTGGCTTTGCTGCTACAGATGCTACTGCCCCCCGGAAAGCCAACTAACGTCGTAGGCAAGGCTGAACCCGGCCATGAACGTAGAGTGTCTGTTCTGGCACCCCCTCGTATGTGGTATTTAAAACTTGGCCAGACTGGGGCGCCTGGGTGGCGCAGTCGGTTGAGCGTCCGACTTCAGCCAGGTCACGATCTCGCGGTCCGTGAGTTCGAGCCCCGCGTCAGGCTCTGGGCTGATGGCTCAGAGCCTGGAGCCTGTTTCCGATTCTGTGTCTCCCTCTCTCTCTGCCCCTCCCCCGTTCATGCTCTGTCTCTCTCTGTCCCAAAAAATAAATAAACGTTGAAAACTTGGCCAGATGAAACGTTCCTCTTCTCCCAGTGGCCACCAGGCCTCTCGCTGCGTGCCACCCCCAACCCCCACTTAGCAGAGATGCTGCCCAATCCCCACGTGGCCTCAGCTCCAGGCTTGCGCCCTCTGAAGAACTGGTTCTTAAGCCAGGCACCATGACAGGCCAAACCTGCAGCCACCTGTGCAAACTTCTGTGTGCCATGTTTTTTGAAAGAGTATCCACAACCCTCAGGTTCCCTACCCAACCCCACAGACCAACAAGCCCCCTTATAGGAACATAGGACAGGACTGCAGCTTCCGGAAGGAACTTCCTTGCTTGGTGGACACGTCCCCTCCTCCCTCCCTCCAGCATGAAGCCGCATCACAACATGGGGAACTCATCTCTCTTCGGCGATACTGGAGGTCTTTGACATTCAATAAGAAAAACCACAGGGGCGCCCGGGGGGCTCAGTCGGTTAAGCAGCCGACTTCGGCTCAGGTCATGATCTCACGGTTCATGAGTTTGAGCCCCGCGTGGGGCTCTGTGCTGACAGCTCAGAGCCTGGAGCCTGTTTCAGCTTCTGTGTCTCCCTCTCTCTCTGCCCCTCGCCTGCTCACGCTCTGTCTCTCTCTGTCTCTCAAAAATGAATAAACATTAACAAATTAAAAAAGAAAAAAGAAAAACCACAGCAGAATGACAGGTAGATCAGCATACCTAGACCCTGCATGTGGGTGGGGCCCCATAAGGTCAAACCAGAGAAGAGCCCAGAGCAAAGCAGACGAACGTCATTTTGTTGATTGCCCTGCTCCTCTCGCAATTATTCCGGTGCTGACGTTTGTCCTGACACCTTGCGAGAGCCCAGTGGCTCTCCCCCAGGAATGAGCACCCAGGGAGAAGTCACACTGTCCCCGCTGGAAGCCCCACACTGATCTCCCTGCCCGCCACCGAGGACCCACAGGGCCAGCAGCGGAGCAGGGACGGTAGGCTCCCACCCTGGTGACAACGGCCGACCCTGAGCGCCTTCCAATACCAGGTGTTATCTGGGGTGCTCTGCAAATACTCCCCATCTAGCAGCACACAGCCTGATACCCGGCAGGAAAAAAAAAAATGGGTACTTGGCTAAAACAATACTTGTGGTCAAGGAAACCCAGAGGGTGTGAGGTGTCTGACAGAGCCTAGATGCTTCTACGGGAGGACAGGCGTGGTTCCATCTGCTTCTGCTGCCAAGTCACTTGGGTTAATCCCACACACTCACTGATTTTTGGTTTTTTTCCTGCTTGGTGAGAGCTCAAATAGCATCACTACAGCAGGTGCCAAATGGGCTGAGGGAATGAAACGAATCGTGCAAGAGTGAACGTGAGGCTTCAGATCTGCACAGCCACCTCCGCTCGCTGCAGGCATACGGTCCCCCTCCTCCTGAGGAGCCTCCAATTCCAACCCCTGGGAGACATGTGCAGAAGCCAGTAAGGACAGAGGCCGAAAGAGCTGGTGGGCGAAAGGGCTTCACCAGCCATTTCTCCAAAGAAGACAAATGGTCAAGAAGCGCGTGAAAAGATGTTTCGCATCACAGGTTCGTGGAGACACGCGAATCCAAACCACCATGCGCTAACTGCTTCACGCCCACCAAGATGGCTGCGATAAAAAAAAGAAAAAAAAGAAAGGAATAACAAATGTTGGCAAGAAACTGGGGCCCTTGTAGCTACCTGGGAGTGCAAAATGGTACAGCTGCTCCGGAAAACAGCATAGCGGATCCTCAGAAAGTCAAATATAGGAATTGCCGTATGACACAGCAATCCTACTCCTGGGTGCCTACCCCAAAGATCTGAAAACAGGGGTTCAAGCTGGTATGTGCATGTTCACTGTGATGTTACTCACAATCACCAGAAAGTGGAAACAAGCCAAGTACCCGTGAACAGATGAGTCAACAAAATGTGACATGGCCATGCCATGAAATATTATGCGGCTGTAAAAAGGAATGGAATTCTTGTACACGTTGTAACATGGATGGACCAAGAAAACACTGAGCCGAGTAAAATACGCTGGACGCAAGAGGACAAATATTGTGTAATCCTACTTGCATGAAATATCTAGAGCAGGCAAGTTCATAGAGACAAACAGATCGGAAGTTACCAGGGGTTGGCGGTGGGGGGGAGGAAGGAATGGGGAGTGCAGAGTTTCCATTTTGAGTGATGAGCAAGGTTTGAAAACAGTGGCGATGGTGGTTGCACAACACTGTGGATGCAATTAATTCCCTTGATGGGTACGCTTAAAAAATGTTAAAATGGCAAATTTTATGTTATATATACTTTATCACAACAAACATGTTCTCATTAAAAAAAAAACACAAACGCAACTTGCTCATCTTAGAAAGCAATTTCTGATTCCTGTTAGCACCCATGGGTTGGTGCTCTTGAAAAGAGAAGGGAGACATAAGCCAGGCTCCTGGCCCAGCCTGCGAAAGTCCACCTGCTTTGCTAATCTCCCGGCCAAGGGCACCCCCTTCCATAAAACAGGGGGGAATCCTGCCTCTGCGCCAGGGAGCCCAGCCAGATGGGCCTTCCCGCCTGTCGGCGAGAAGTCTGCCCTGCCCATGGCCCCTTGGGCAGCCTACAGAGATGCCATCCAGCACTGGGAGCCACCTTCTCTCCACCTGCTACCTGCAAAGCCCGCGGCCATGTGTCCACATTTGCACAGAAGGTCTTAGAAGATACCAAATGTCTAATTGCCCAGTAAATCTGGTGTTGGCAATTAGCAAACAAGCTATTATCTACAGACAAACCATCCACCCCGCTGTCTGCTTGGTTCTAATTATCCCATCACTCAGCTCTTCCCAGCGCATGTCCCACTGACTTGCAAAAGAGCATGTGTTGGGCCACACGTTGAACACATGCCTTGGGCCCCCAGAGGACTCCAGGATACGTGAGGACAAGACACAAGGATTTTTTTGGTTCTCCCTGTCCCTCCCCCACCCAATTCCTTGCAGGTTACTCAGCCGGGCCTCAGGGCAATTGAATTTCATGGACTTTCTCCATCAGAAATGAAATCGCAGCTGTACCATGTGATGATGTAAAACTGATTTGCATAGAAGGCATGGAGAAGTAACATTTTTATAGATGCATCCATATCATGCACGCCCACATCTATAGCTTTCAATAACCCAAACCAAAGATTAGTCACCAGTTAAGGTGTACCAATCCAGCACAGGAGTACGCAAAGCCTGCAGTGACATTACTGTCTTATTTTTTAGGATGTCCAAGTGGTGCTCAAAAATTCATGGGGAAAAGAATATGGAAAAGCCTACTGCAGGTCCTGAGGGGTATGGGGAATTTCCAGCGTGTTAATGATCTTAACCAAGCTGGAAAGCTCTTGTTCAATGGGTAAGTAATTAGGAATAAACAGAATGGGGTCAATGGAATATTATTTTTTTTTAAATTTTTTTAATTACATTTCTTGATCTTTGAGAGGCAGAGAAAGACAGAGCATGAGTGAGGGAGGGGAAGAGAGAGGGGGGGACACAGAATCTGAAGCAGGCTCCAGGCTCCAAGCTGTCAGGACAGAGCCTGACGTGGGGCTTGAACTCGCGAGCCATGAGATCGTGACCTGAGCCGAAGTCGGATGCACAACCGACTGAGCCACCCAGGTGCCCCAATGGAATATTATTGATCTATGGGTATGTGACAGATCTGAGATAAAAGTTGATATATGGAATATCTATATGCACAAGGCACCTGCTGAGCGTCCTGGCTACTGCTTATACATAGGCCATAATCCACAGCAGGAAACGCCAACCATCACTAATTATGGACCTGTTTGTGCTTCTCCATAAAGCCACAACAATAACACCTGCCCCGTGAATATGCCCACCTACATAATAGTCCAGTGGTACACACAAAAGTCCTTGAGCCCATCGGGAACAGAAAAGCAAGGCAGAGCTAAATGGAGATTTTCAGAGTGCAGCCTTGGGGGACAGAAAGGAAGCTGATGGAAACAGAATTGACACCCATCTGTGGAGGCAGGGAGAAGAAACTGGCAAACCAGAGATTAAAGAAGAATACTCCACCAGGAAGTGTCATCAAGGGCAGAGCTGAGGGACCTGAGACATTAAAGACACACTCCACCGTTGCAACTACATTAAATAGACACTCGCAGTATCTTCCACTCCAAGCACTAAGTCACCCTGAAATGCGGTAACACAGAGGGAGTTGATGACTTCACATCACAGAATCAGCGAAACACTGAATACTGCAAGAATGCAGGCAATCAGCCACAGACCTATGGTAAGCTGAGGGCGAAGAGACCCTGAAGCTTTCCAGCAGAGCAAGAGAAATTGCCGGGTTTCCTTTGCTATTAGTTTCAAACAATTTAATGTCATTTCTGTCTTGTGTATTTGCTATGCGATTTTTTTTTTTTTAGTTTGTGTGAATACAAAAATAAGTTGATAAGGGTGTTTCTAGGTTCACTCAACCTGGGACTCATCTCCCAACACATTCTTCAACCAAGTCACTTTTAAGATAATGTTTTTGGCAAAGAGGTATAGATAAAGAAATGAAAATATCTTTGCAGCAAAGTAGAGGCTATAAATAAGTAAAAGTATGGCTCAACCCACAAGT